ATAGATAGATAGATAGATAGATAGATAGATAGATAGATAGATAGATATGGATGAGTAGATGAACAGATAGACATATAGTTATTTAAAAAATGATAGTCAGAGTAGTGGCATATGGCAGTGATTAAAGATATTTAAAAGACACAGTTCTAGAGAGTTTTATGTGCTGAAATGATTATCCAACAATCTATGTGTAGTGGAAAGGAACTGGATAGCATCCCTTTCAGTTGAAAACAGCAGTCAGATATTAAATGCATATGTGTTATGTGGGACTTATTCCCAAGTAAACATTGACAAAATCACAGGCAAATGTGTAGAATTCTGGATATTGGTTAGACTGTTTTTACAATATAATTTTTAAATTGATCTAGTAAATCATTATATTACCATTCTATGTGTTTTAATTGGTATTGTAGTAGCCTCACAAGGTGTCATTTACTCCTCAGCCCTACTTATATCTCAGAAGCAAGTTAAAACAATGTTTTGCTCAGACTGATTGTGGGGCCTATTTAGGCTATCACAGGAAACCGACTGTTTTAGTTTTAATTGCTTATGTTGAGCTTATTATTTTTTCTGCTATTCAAAGCCCTTAGTCTGACAGGACTAGGGCGGGCTACAAATTTGGATTGATTGATAGACATAGACAGATAACCAACCCTACTATGGATGTTTTAATTGTCGTCTTGGGACTGTAAACCTCAAGGAATTCCTGGCAGATTCAGCAATAATAAACACACTTACTTAGGTAATGGTGAAATAACAGAATTATCTGGGGCTTTGTATAAATTGAAGAACTACAGCTCCCACCAATTTCAGCTTAAATATGTGATGATGATTTATGTAAGCTGCCCAGAGTCACTGGAGATGGGTGGCATATAAATTTAATTAATAAATAAATCATGAGGAATGTTGAGAACTGAAGAACAGCAGCCACAGAATCTGGCCAGACACAAGTTCAAGTCCTTCTCCTATGCTAGTCATAGGTTCAAGAATGAGAGATAGAGGCTAAGGGCCAAGACCTAATTTGGCATTGAAAAATGTAGGGAACTATAACAAAATAGTAATGGACTTCTTGAAACAATCTCTAACTACCAGGATGGACAACTTTCTTTAAGCCAGGAGCAGAAATTTGCTCTCTCAGCCCACTGGTAATATCACTGAAAGAATGATAATGTCCCTGCTTATTCAGTCCACTTTTATTTTGTGTAGGCATTTAAGTTCTCTGAGAGTACAACTGCACCTTTTCCTATTAGAACATTCCAGAAACAAACAAATATACATAATCCAATTGGACATGGTTCTTGTGTTTGAACCTGTGAAATGGTATTTGTTGATCTGAAAAGTAGACCCAGTACCTGTGGAAATATGATAGGTAAATGAAGAAGAAGATTTGATTGTTTCAAGAACCAGAAAATATTCCTTTTGTTAAAAGCCATGGGGGCACAGTGGTTAGAATGCAACATTGCAGGTTAACTCTGCTCACAGTCTGGAGTTTGATTCTGACTGGTGATTGACTTAGACTCCCATCCTTCCAAGGTTGGTAAAATGAGGGCCCAGATTGTTGGGGGAAATATGCTGACATTGCAATATGCTGACATTGTAAAGAGAGTGCTATAGAGCACTATGGGGTGATATATAAGTCTAAGTGTTATTGCTAAAAAAAGAGCTAGATTTTGATAATGCTTAGAACATTTGGAAGGGTGGAAATCAGAGAATTATTTATCCATTTATTTAATATTTATTAGATTTATGTGCCTCCCATTTCATATAGAGGCAACCTTAGAATAATAGAGATGAAAGGAGTGACTGAATCCAACTCCTGCTTTGTATTTATAAAAGGTACTTTTAGCTAACTTCTTCCACCATTTTCAGGCAACTGGTTCAAACTGCTGTTCATCTTTGGAAGTTGCTTTTTTGCCCACTAACATTCCTAACAATCAGTAACTATCTGCCAAAAAAAAAGGAGTTTACTTCTAGTGAAATTTCCCACTCCCCTGTCTGTTTTAGAAAATAAAATAAAATAAGAAAAGTTCTGCCCCCAGTTAGTCAATTTTGCAGCTGAATTTCTGCAGCACAGTCCCAGGGTGCTAGTGATTGGCACAAATTAGGTCCCAGGGGTTGGGGTGATGGTATATACTCCCTATGGGCTTCTGTTTATTCATTTCTGCCTTATTGGAAATAACTCAGCAAAAATAATTTAGAAAGTTTCTATCATATTACATAAAAATGACCATTTCATTAACATTTCCTACATATATATTTTTTTACCATTCCGAGGCTTACTTTACGTCCAAGGAATCCTGGGTCATATAGAAGCATTTTATTTCCTACCTTTTCACCTTCACAATATTCCTGCAATGAGGATTACATTTAATGACAATGATTTTGCTAAGGCAATTCAACAGACTTTATACTGGGCAGGAATATGAATACAGGTTCCCCAATACTAATCTAGCTTTTAATTTTCTATATTGTATCTCTGGGTTTTCAAAGCACTGTTCCTCATTCAGAAGGAAACTTTGGAATGAAAAGCATTCCCAAAAATTTCCAAGGATTATAACACACCAATTAATTTAACATCAACCAAGAGGCCATGAGTTCTAATCCCACCAGCTGGGTGATTTTGGGCTAGTCACTCTCTATCTCTCTCAGCCCAACCTACCTCACGGAGTTACTGTTGTGAAGAAAATAGCAGGAGAAAGGAGTATTGGGTACATTTGCCACCTAGAGTTATTTATAAACAATAATAAAGGTAGGAGAAAAAATAAATATCGGCAGAGCTTAAGACAAAATAAGATCCAAAAAGAAGAATATACTCTAAAGAAATGCCTGCATGCATTTTCTGAGAGGAAGAAAAATGATCCCACTAAAAGAGTGTTCCATTTTTATATACTGTATAAATAGGTATACATCCCACGTATTTCCATACAAAAATACTGATTTTTGTGGTTATGTGTCTAGAAAAGGACCAGTGAGATTCATTCTGAATCAGAAACAATGGTGCTTGTCACCTTGCAGGATCATTCAACATCTGGTCAGACCGCAAGGTGGCGGTCAGCCAGAGTTTGCCTCAGGCATCCCAAAGACTGCCAACACTTATTACATCAGTGAAATGCAGGATGTGAGAAGCAAGACAAAGCAAATAGTGTAGTCTCTTCTTCGGGAAACTAGATGAATACTCACTCATTTAGAATTTCTATCAGCAGTTCAATAATAAAGGTAATCCTTCGACATAATTAATTCCTCCTTTTAAAAACAATAAAATCTACATCCAAGATTTGAACTGCCTCAAAAATGACCCTATTTGGTTTTGGGAGTCTGGGAAAAAAAATACGTCATTGGATTGCATTATAATGAAGATGAGAGATATGTTCAGAAGGGGTTGTCTCTGCACTATATACTTTAAACTTTCTTAAAAATAATAAGGACTCTTAAATAGTTCATATCTTTGTCTGTGAGATATTGTTTGTTTAAAAGAAAGAAATATTCCTAGATATATTAGCATTCAGATTTGGAATTTCTAGTCCTCTTATTGGAGGAATAGGTCAGGACTCATCAAAATCAGATGAGAATCCTGGTATCTTCTCAAAGAAGAACAGGACAATGGGACCCCCAAGGCTAACTGTACATTGGCAGTAACTTTACAGAGCCTTTGCACCCATAAGAATAGACCAGACAATAGGACAGAAAAAGAGCTCCAGGCTGTTGTCAAAAATGCCTGATTAGACTTGTATCTGTCCCGGAGAAGAAGGAAAAAGGAAGAAGTTAATCATGAAGCCTGAACTGAAACAATATTGAAGGATCTCAGCTTCTCAAGAACTCCAAGCTTAAGACCTAAGATTCCTAGATTTTCTTGAGATAGAAGGCTAACTCTCGTACTAAAACAAGCATTGCCTTCTGCAATGAATACATTTCCTTCAAGCTATTGGATAGGTCTTCAAGAAACAAATAATGTGCTCCTTTGAAAGATATCTTGGAAATGTTTAAGTATCTGTCTAATTCAGTTGGTGCCCTTAAAGCAATCAGGATTGTAGCTCCCAAAGTTCACACTGGACTCTGGCTGAAATCCTGGGAAGGCTGCTTGAATTAATATTGAAGCATCTTGTTTCTTGTTTTCAAACCAATTTCCCTTCATGATGATGTATCAATCAGGAAAAAGGATACACCAAAAAGGGATTCCTAACTACCTCACTGTTGTTGGGTCTGGAGACTGGTTGGAAGGCTGTTTGTTTTGCTTTTTTTAAAAAATTTGCATTCCATCAGTTTTAGCTGGCACTGCAAACAGAAAGAAATTATAGGAGTGGGAGTTTAATATTATCTAGGAAGCCACACACTGCAGCAATATAAACTGATCTTGATTTACTTCTAACAGCCATTCCTTCAATCCCAGAGATTAAAAAAAGGTGATGATGGGGTCTTTCACTGATAACCTCTGAATAAATGCCAAGGGATTGATAAGGACTCCCATATAACTATGTTTCCCTTATCATACTGTGCCTTTTGGAATCCTAAAATCAGAACCATAGTAAGTACTAACAGACGCTGAACTGGATAATGCCCATCACCACTGCTTAATTGTTTAAACCATTAGCCTGTATGTTTCACTTCGGAAGGCAAGGATGGCATTACCAGGGATGATGTAATTAATCAATATCAAATAATAAACTTTACAGTGAATAATGAAAGTTAAACTTTACAGCTCAGAATGATGGATATGATGGTTATCATATGAGCATATGTTTATTATAATTATCCGCATTCAGGTATCTCTATATCGGGGGTCAAACTCGATTTCATTGAGGGCCACATCAGGCTTGGGGTTGACCTTAGGGGCCCAGGGGGCATGGCTGGGGTGGCAGTGGCCAGCTCAACATTGCTCACATCGGGGGGGGGGGGGGGGGGGGGCCCGGGGGGGGGGGGGGGGGCCATGGGCGGGGGTGGGGGATCCATTGTCTGCATGGGACGGCGGTGGCCCCTCGCTGACTGCAGGGCAGCCCCGCAGATCTAAGGTTGACTGCGTTCAGGCCCAGATGGCTGCCACCAAGTTTTAGATCAGTGCCCGGATGACCTGGGCCGGGGCTGAGGCGCCAGGGGACAGCCCTTCAGTGTTTCTTTGTGGGCCAGATCTAACCACATTGTGGGATGGATCTGGCTCCCAGGCCTTGAGTTTGACATCCCTGCTCTATATAATAAGTTAAAAGTGGCACTGCATCAGAAAATCTTATATGCCATCAAAGAAGTTCAAAATCAGGGCAACTGAAAAAGTCAGTGGTTCTTGACCATCTCTGAAACCTATCACTGATCACTCCTGACCAGAAGTAGGAAGCTAAAGAATATTCAACTTCTTTCATAGCGTTTCCTTAGATCATTAAAATAAAAAGGAGTGGCAGTCTCTATTGTAGAATAGGGACAGGTGATCAACAAATGTCTATTGCAAGAATAAGGAAGAGGAGGGGGGGGAGGAGGAGGAGGAGGAGGAGGAGGAACTATTATTTTGACAGCTGCAATGTCTGAGTCATCTTCCAGACTACTGGAAATATGGTAGAAACACAATGATGGGGAAAAAAGAAACCTCAGCATTTAGGATGGAATGGCTCCTGGCCAAGTACAATGGAAGGTATTGCACACATTTACAAGTTCTCTGCATTAAGTCAGCATCCTCAAAGGAAAGGAGGAAAAAAAGGACATTTGCTTGGCCTCTAGATCAGCAGTGAAGTATTTATGCTGTCTACGCAACCAACACCCTTTCAACAGGATATGGCAGCTGTTTCTTTGTAGGCATCTAACCTGTGCTATTGCATAATCAGAAGAGTTGGTTGCCTGCATGCCTTCATTGCCACTGATCCCCACTCCAACATGAGCCGTCTGGATCATTCCAACATCGTTGGCACCATCCCCAATGGCCAGAGTGATGGCATTCACATGTTTCTTTACCATGTCTACTATTTCTGACTTCTGCAGAGGAGACACCCTAGGGGAAGAAGAAGAAAAAAGTCTGTCAGTTTCCAAACTATGTGTGACTTTTAAAGGGAGAACTGCAGATGAAAAAAAAAAAAAAGGCAATCACTGGAAAATTTCCTGCTCCAATACTTCAGATGTTAGAGTACATGCCAAATCCTCCCTTCCTTCAAATCCACTGTGGATGGAAGACTCATCAAGAATAGTAGGCTAAAAACGTTTTGATTACCCAAAAACCTTTTTTTCCAATTCTTATACCATATGATAGCTCTCTCTAGATGTGTTGAGATATCAACTTTCATAATTCCATCTTTTAGTAGCTGGCAGATTACAGGGATTGAAGGCCAAGAAATTAGAGGGCATTGGATTGGGAAAAGGTATAAGACTAGTATTGAAATTGCTATATTGAAAGAGTTTTGTCCTTATTCACAAATATAGTTCATACACATTTCCTATTCAAGTGCTCTGCAGAGCTTCTGGAACTACTGCCAACTATCATGTGTCTGGAGGGGATACTGCACACAGATCTCTCTGAAGAAATTAGGCTTTACCTGTTTTAAGCTTCTTGTCTTTATGTTGTCTGTACAATGCAACTGGACTCAAGAAGAAAGAACATAGGAAACTGTTTTAGACACTTTCAATTGCTTAGTTCAATATTGTCTTCTGTATCAATGTCCCCCCAGAGTCTCTGTCAAAAGTATTTCTCATAATTTGCTACTAGAACTTCCCAAAAACAAAACAAAACCCAGAAATACCAGACTGAGGAATCTAGAAAAATGATACAATTGGTTTCAAAAGAAATGGAGGTGCTCTTTCAGCTAGTGCATAACTATTTGTGAACCAATACCCACAAGATGCATTGATGTCTACTAAGTTGAATTGCTTTTAAAAGGGAGAGGAGAATGATTTTAAAAGGGAGTCTTGGAGAATGGAATTTTTACTATTGCCTATCTATGACAGCTATGTGTTACCTCTATTAATAGGAATATTAGCTTTGACCAACTTTAGCGAGATGGTATTGTGCATTTGTGTCCTGCATGTGAGTTTCTCTTGGCTGACCATTATGAGACTAGAACATTGGCTGGAGGGACCTTTCAATCAGATCCAGAATAAAAAGAAAAGATTTTATTTTTTAAAATGACTTTCAATTTACAAAGTATAGGTTCTCCCACTAAGCAAGTGTCAGCTCAGCAAGGTAGACCAGACCAAACCAATGCCATATGGGTCAGAGCTATTTTATTATAACAACTGTAGTAACACTATTTTGTGAATATGAATGCACTTCCTTCTCTCTCCCTTTATCTTCATGTGAACTAGGGAGAAGTTTATCTGGAATGCTTTCTCAAGTTCTTTTCTTGGCCCAAGCTCAGTCCCACTTACAGTGTCTGACCATCATCATGACAGCAGTTCATTCTCCTGTTCTTCAAGGCCATCCCTATCCCTTTACTAATAGGTTCTGCTAATAAGCTACATTGATCAAGCATGTGATACCTGATAATCAGAGGACAGACTGCTGAAAGGAGCCACTGAATCCTTCAAATCATTGAATAGTTGAATTTGGCATGCAAAAAGAGACTATAATTCAATGATTTGGATTAATAACGCAATTTATAGATCCATTTGTAATCTACAAACTTTTCAAAGCTGCTAATATTACTCCTACTGCTTGCAGCAGTCCTTTGCTTTATTCTTCCTCCTCCATATCTTTTTAGAACTCATAGCTGCAAAGTTATAATTATACAGAGATAAAGAAATAGATTTATGTTGCCCTGAGTTGTACAAAATAAAGGCAAAATATAAATCAAATAAATGCAGACATAAATCTAGTTATAGATATATACAAGGTGACAACATTGACCAATCTCTTTACAAATTAGAAGAGTTTCTTCTTATCTGGGGCACATTGGTGAATTACTCCAGAGTTTTAAATCCCTATTTGGTGGAGACCCCGTCTAAATTTTTTACTTTATGAGCTGCAATCAGGAATGAAAACAGACTGTAGTTTTGGCAGTATTTTACATTTATCAGAAGAATATCAGTCTTAGAATTTAACATGGATGAAACTCAACATCATCTATGTTTCAATGAGATTATTCACAGGTAAGCAATTTATTTTAATACTATGGTAAAGTAAATCAATGCTGTAATCTTTCAAGTAAAAAGATTTAACAATCTCCTCTATGAGAATCTTTTGTCCAAAGATACTTAGACTAAATTAGTTAAATTTCCTTTTCAGTCAAACTTTCCTAATGCTTAGTCTTTTGAATAAAAGCTTTCCCAAAGATAAAAGTTAGCACATGAAGACTAATGATAGAATTTCCCAAGTAATTAAATCTACAAACAAAGCACTGTGGGAAACTATTCTTTGATAACATGAAAATTAAACAGATTTACAAGTTTAAGCCAACTTTCCCCAATTTGATGCTCACAATAATTGAGAAAACATAGCATTTTCTTATCTGGTTCTCTCCAAGGACTGGACAACTGCCATAAGTGCTATAAAGTTTAAAAAGAACTCTGCCATTGGCCTGTTCAGAATGGAACTGGGAATTTCAAATGAGGAAGGTCATGTAATAAAATGTCATCTTCCTTAGGGATAAGAATGATAATTAAAGAACTGAAAGGAAAAATGAGAATATATGGATAGTTTTTATAATGAAGGCATGAAAATAGGGTTTTCAAATAACATTCTTGGGCCCTCACATTTTTAATGATAAGAAACAGTATCTAGAGTTGAAAGTCAGCAGGATTCCTGATTTTACAAAATACTGTAGCAATATTTAAAGAAATAATGTCAATAAAGGAAATTACAAAGAAATTCTCCTAATAATGAGTAATTAAATATAAGCAAATGTGGAATGGTGCACCTCAGAACTAAAAGTGATACACTCTGCAGATAACTGAGAAAACTGTTAGAGAAGGAAACTTAGGTTATAGTGTTTAGATTGGCCTAGTGTGCTATGCATAAACTCTATGTCTAGAAGAATTTGGAAGAAGATAAATGTTTTAAAGGTTGAAACATAATTCTAAATCTCATGACTATAAGATTTTTTTTACATGTAGATACTTCTAGAAAGCTTGCAAGTAACCTCCTAAATGTAAAAAAAAACCAAAAACTAAGAGGGATTTAAGAATGAATGACTATGGAAATCCTCAGTCATCTAGGTCATGGTTGGTGCTTTTAAAAAAAGGCAACTTGACTTTTTTCTTGAAGACATTTTGCTTCTCCTCCAAGCAGCTTCTTGGTGCTAATTTGATACCTTGCATCCTTGCAAGCTTTTGTTAAGGTATACCAAGTCTTCTGTGGGCCTTCCTTCTGAAGAAGTTCTGAAGAAGCTTCTTGGATGAAAAGTAAAATGACTTCAAGGAAAAACAAAGACCAGTTTTGAAAAAGCACCTTTGGGACCTCAGAAATGAAGGTGGACTTCTTAGAAATAAGGGGAAATAGACAGAGTGTATCTATTTTGTATGGGATATCTTAATGGAGATCAAGTGGTTCAGGTCTTTTTTCATTTGAAATGCACGGATACAGTTGTTTTATTTGTCTGCTTGCTTGTTTTTTTAGTAGAAAATAGATGAATGATATAAAAGTTAGCATTTTTATTCTATAGAGTTCGTTTTGTGAGCTTTACTTTTAGCTAATGGAAGAGTTGAGCTGTTTAAGAACATATTTATGACTGCATATGTTCTTTATGTTACTGGAAGCTTACACTGGCTACTGTGCTTGGGGAGGAGTGATAAATAAATAAAAATACTCAGCAGCCATCCTTTTGCTTGCTTGTTTTTAAGATAAAGATGTGCCTCTATCAGCAGAAAGATATGTTACGCTAAACACATTAGTACATCTGGGAAATGTGTAAGGAGATGAGAGGAAAGCATCTTCCAAGGGAGAAAAAGAGAGGCCTGATTTTTTCCTCTAACTGAAAAGTATAAGTGTAGTATTTCCAAGGATAGAAGGATACTTATCAATAACAGAGAATGTTTGTAGCTCAGGATTGAAATGATCCTTGGTGCTCTCTGAGCTTGACTGCTTTCTTGCAGACATTTCATTACCCAAACTAGGTAACATCATCAGTGCTAGACAAGCTCAGAGAGCACCAAGGATGCCTCAGAGGGATACTTACACTAGAATATTCTTTACACGATTCAACTTAACATTATTTGGCCGATATTTGAAATTGAAACAATGATTGTAAAATGTCTTTTGTAAAAATGGCATTGATTGTGATAAGCCCTCCCTACCATTTTTCCACCATTATTCAGACTCCAAAAAACTAGCCTTTAAGGTCTTCTTCACCTCAAGTGAAGAAAACAATTGCCTGAATCCAGTTCTCCTCTGATATATGTACCAGTGCCTTCTTTGGTAAAAACAAATTATGATGTCCCTGTCTCCTGCCCACAAGTCCATTAAATAGAAAATGGAATATATTATGGGAAACTGTGATTTAAATAGATGGTCTTATTATATTCATTTTTGGTTGCAACAGGAATTAAAATTATATATTTTAATGTCTTTACCCCAAAATGTGTTAATTTGATATCTTGCTTCCTTGTAAGCTTTTCTTAAGACATACAAAGCCTTTGTGAGCTTTCCTTCTTTGAAAGTAACATTTATTTATTACAGGTTACCATTACCATTAAAGCAATATACCTATTTTTTAAAAAAATAGCTTCCCTCTCAATCCTACAAAGGCAAGACAAATGGCAAAATTTGTAATGTTCAAGATAAAAGGCCAAAGAATGATGCTATACTTTCCTACCAAGTCAAACACTTTAATTTCAGGTCCCAGATTTTTTTAAAAAAGTTGCACAATATTGTCCAGTGACAAGGTAGGAAAACCAAACCTTACATTTATTTTGTGTCTTTGGGCTCTATGGGCTGTCTTTAATGGTTGCAGACGAATTCCACTTATCACAAAAATCTCAAATTGTGACACAAATGGAAGTTAGCAGAATAAATAACATGGCTGTATCTCTCTTACATTTCTAATGACCTCAATCAATATGACAACC